TAGTCATATGAATGAAAACATGATATCATTATCTATTTTGTACTAAAATATATATTTGTCTTTATTTATTTCAGTGTCTACTAACTACTGACATTAGTTTTAATCGCTTTATCCCTACTAAAAGGGAAGTTAGTGTTATTATATCAAAAGTGTAGGATTTGTTGTATAAGTTGATTTACCCATAAACTTAGGCCTTGTTTTGGAAGGAAATATTTTAGCCAGAAAATCAAAAAGTTACTATAAGTTGTCACATCAGTCTCTCTACTTTTTTGTACATCTTTTCGTAAAAAAATCAAAAAGTTAATAAAATAGTCTGTTTCCAAACGAGGCCTTAATATTATTGTTAGATCTCGAATTTGTTAAGGAAAATAAACATGATAAGGAAGTGGAGTTATTTGGCCGGTTTGGGAAGTGGGTTTAGGGCTTTTTTTTAGACTAAAAATTTAAAATAAGACAAAATAAATTAAAATAGTTAATAAGATAAAATGTCACATCAAATTTATAATTATTTTACTTTTTCTCTCACAAACATTACATTTAATTAAAAAAAAAAATCTAACCATTTTTCTAAATACAAAAATTTTGACATATTAAAATAGTCAAAAACTAAAATAACCTACTAAAATAATCAACTTCCCAACCGAAACCATATTCTATAAAAATATTTGTTGTGATTATAGATTATTTTTTGAAAAATATATCCATTTTATTTCCCATTTTCTCACCCAACAAAACATAAAATTTACTGGGTAAATTACATTGACACCCCTTGAGGTTTGTATTTAATATATATACCCCTGATGTTTCAGAAATTACACTGATCCCCTATCAATGTTTGCTATTGTTTGGGAAGGGTTAAAGTGACTATTTTAGCCACAAAAAAACAAAATAGGCTATTTTAGCCACAAAAAAACAAAATATTACATCCAACCCATAATCATTACACTATTCTCTCACAAAAAAAAGTCAAAAAGTCCTTCCCAAATCAAGCTTTTTAGCCCAGGCTAAAAAAGTCAAAAAAGTCAAAAAAGCCAAAAAGCTAACCCACTTCTCAAACGGAGGCTTTGTCTATTAACAGATCTAAAGATAAATTTGAAGACTTTAGAGCATCCATAACGGGATAGCTAAAAAAGTGTGTTAAAGTGTGTTATATAACAAAAAGTGATAAAATTGAGATCCAAAAATGTTTGTTAAGATGTTTTAAGAGTTTGTTAATTTTAGAAATTGTTAATTTTAGAGAGTGAGTGGTGGTGCAATGTATGTGTTAAGGTATGTGTTTAGATGTGTGTTAAGAATGAATAATGTTTTAGAGCACTAAATTGGGAGCTCTAGAGCATCACTAATGATGTGGCACAGTGACCCTCACCAAAGTGATGTGATGTTTTGATTTGAGTTTTTTTTTTTTTTAAACTCATTAGAGCTATTAGTGGTCCAAAAATTAGTGGGATGAATCACCACTCAATCATTTAGAATAATGTTTTAGAGCACTAAATTGGGAGCTCTAGAGCATCATTATGAAAAGTGCGGTGGGCCCCACCCCACTTACAAATACATCTCATGAGATTTGATTAAAATACGAATCGCCCCCTATGGTTTTGAAAATTACATTTCACCTCTTGAAATTTCTAATTTTATAACAAATTGCTCATTTTATTAATAAATCATCAAGTCAATTAATAATTTTTAATGATATTAAAAATATGTTTCAATTAATTCAAGTAATTTTATTATTGTATGGGAAAGCAATTATAAATTTTATTTTTTTAGTTAATTATGTTAAATAAATTTTTTTAATAATGGGGTATTTTTAATTTTTTAAACCATAGGAGGCAATCTGTATTTTAAGCAAATCTCAAGAGATGTATTAGTAATTTACCCCACTTTTTTTTTTCTCTCACTCTCTCTCTCTCTCTCTCCCTTCTTTGCTTGTTCACTTGGCATCTGACATAGTCAGCCAGTCAAAAAAAAAAAAACAGTCAATTGGCTAGAAAAACTCTACAATTTTTTTTTTTTTACTTAAAGGTCCGGACGTCTGGGGGAACGACTAGTCAGATGACCCCATGGCACTTCCCACGTCCCCCTCTCTCTTTCTCTCCCTGGATAAAATGTTAGCCACAATTAATAAAGAAGTTAACAATTGACAATAACACAACCTACTAACACACTCTTTAGCACTTCCATTATGAAGTCAAAAGTTAGTGTAACTCCTCCAATTGTTGACTACTGACACTAACACACCCACTATACATCCATTGTGGATGCTCTTAATACTCTCAATGAGGATATGAATTTGCCATTATGCCTTGTCTCTGTTTTTTTCCACTCTTGATTTCCCTACTTTCTCTTTTTTCATTCTTCTCTCACTTAACCTTTTCTCTCTCATCTTATCATACATCCTCACCATGACCACCCCTCTTTCCTGTCACACATCCATCATAACCAGACCATACAAAACTCCATCACTAATGCCAATCAAAAAAATGTCATTAAAATACGCTCTCTCACATCTTTAAGAAAAGAGGGAATGATTTTCAGAACGTATATTATGGGCTTGTTTGGTTTGTGTTTGTAGAGTAATTTTTGAGATAAAAAGTACGAAAACTTGTTTGGTTTGCCTTTTTTTAGAAATGATTTTGGGAAATTGTTTTGAGGAGAGAGTTTTAAAAAAAAGTGATTTATTTGATATGTATGAGAGAGAGTGATTTTGGAAAGAAGCAAACCAAACAAAATTTTGAGATTTTTTTTGGAAAAATTTGTTTGGTTTGATTATTCTTGAAAATTTGTTTGCAGAGAATTTTTCCCAATTTTTTTTTTCCAAAAACAAACCAAACAAGCCCTATGTTTCCAGAAGTTGGCTATCAAAAATCTAGCAAGACCTCCTGTTCCTAAATTTTTTTGTTTTTTCTATCTCAAATTACTCATAACTATTAAATCATTTGAAAATTTTAAAATTTAAGCCATATTCAATAATTATGAATAATTTAAAACATGAAAACAGAAATTTTTAGGAGAGGGGATCTTTGGGATAAAAAATCATAACAATGACTATTAAATTTGTTTTTTTTACTTCATGTTGCATTTATAACAAAGTCAGAACCTTTAGTTCTTCCAACCATGTAGTTCCATGTATAATTGACGACCACCAATTAATTACCTTAAAATATTACCTCAAAATGGCAATTGATCGGAAGTTGTTTTCTTTTCAGAATTTAAAAATGTTTAACAAATCTCGAATTTCAATCTCTTAAAAAGCCATAATTCCCATTTGTCAGCATCCATCACCCACCCATTTGTTAACCACCATGCCCGCAACCAGTTGGGAATTTCATCAAATAACTGGAACTCAACAATATCAGTAGGAAAAATAGAGGATCTGTCCAGGAAAGGGAAAAGGAAAAGAGGAGAAATAAGAAAAAAGTATAAATGGAAATAAAGTTTCCACACATGGAACTCCATACTGCAACCCCTCCCATCCATCAGTGCATCTATTTTCCTCGCCTAGACCTCCACTTGCAACACCACATACCAAATACCTAGACCTACTTGAAAATTTCAGCAATCCATGATGCAAAGAATTAAATTAAGTTTGACCCTTGTACATCAGGTGTTATTGATGGGGTTGAGAGGTTACAGATATGGGCGATGGTGTGGCTGGAGTGGGGTGGGGTGGCAGAGGTGCAGATGTGAGCGAAGTTGAGAATGCAGTGATGCTGGAGTAAAGTGATGAAGTGATGGATGAAGTGATGAGTGGTGATAAGTGGTGAGGTAATGGTTAGATGGAGAAGAAAGAAGAGGAGAGTTGGACCCATATTACAGAGAGTTTGGAAAGACAGAGAGACGGGAAAGATGGAAAAATTGGTTTGATAATCTTAAGGGCAAAATTGGCATTACAAAAAGTATTGTTGTTGACATCAATTCCGTTAAGTTAACTAATGGATGCAATTGTTTACCTAGGAAGGGAGTGTAATTTTTAAAACTTGAAGGGAAAATATGTATTAAGTGCAAACCTTAAGGGGTGTTATTGTAATTCATCCAAATTTATTTATATGGATGGTATTCGTTTTTATTTTTATTTTTATGCCGATGGCACTGATGTCTATTTTAACAACATGAAATTTTAATTGAAAAGGTTACTACACAAAAATTTAATAAATTTTAATCAATATTTTTGTACAATTTTTTTTTGTATAAAAAAAATAATAGAAATTGATCAATAAATCTTATATTTTAGACTTGTAATTCATATAGTTCCATATTTTTTTATTATAATTCATTTAATCATTTTAAATGTGTAATGACTTATTTACCAGCTATATTGGAGTGTCACATTTAGAAAAAGTACACTAAATAACTTTTTAATGTCACATCATACCTGTCACGTTAGAGTGTCACGTTTAAGAAAAGCACACTAAAGAATTTTTAATTTTTTTAAAGTGTCACATCATACCTATCACGTTGGAGTGTCACATCATACCTATCACGTTGTCACGTTTGAGAAAAATATATTAAGGAGTTTTTATTTTTTTTTTTGGAGTAAAAGTTTTGGAATGTTACATCATACCTGTCACGTTGTCGCATTTGAAAAAAGTACACTAAAGAATTTTTAATTTTTTTAGAGTGCCATATTAATACCTGCCACATTAGAGTATCATATCATATATGTCACATTAATAAAACGATATAACTGTCTATTAAAACACTATCAAAATAAAAAATAGGACTATACGGAAAGTAATTCTTCACTAATAAGACTTAACAGATTAATTAAAAAAATTTAGAATTAATTGAAATATTTGTTTGTAATTTAAGATTTATTGATAAATATTCTTAAAAAAAAATCTAATTTCCAAAACAAACCCTTTTACATTACATGACCAATAGTGGACCCAACCCAACCCAAGCTTGATCAGGAGAGCCCCACAAGCGCGACGGTTGCTCGTCCTTTCAGTTTAGGAGACACCCTTCATGTGCAACATGCCAGAAGCCCCCCCAACTCATCACTCACCACAAAACAAACCAATACCATCCTCACACATCTCTCTCTCTCTCTCTCTCTCTCTCTCTCTCTTCTGCACCTATCACCATATCACCTATTATATTCACTTCTCTCTCTATAAAGTTACTTATCTCATTTTCTATCCCTCTCGCCTCCATGGTTACTCTCTTCCAAACCTCACCATGCCGTCTATTCCACATTCCTTCTCTCTCCCAAGGTATCCATCCACAACTCTCTCTTTCTCTCTCTACATCAACAATTTTCAAATTCTTTACTCTCGATCTGAATTCTCTTAAATTTATTAATTCATTTCACTTATTTCCATTTTTGTACTAATAACCAGGTGGTTCGGAATATTCCGGCGACGAGTCTCACCTTCCGATGACGACGACAATGACGACAGCCCTATCCCCAATTCAGTCGAATGCTACGCCTGCACTCAGTTCGGCGTCCCGGCTTTCCACTCCACCAGCTGCGACCGGGCTCACCAACCCGAGTGGGAGGCCTCGGCCGGTTCTTCCCTCATTCCGATCCAAAACCGGACCAAAAAGAAAACCGGTAGGACCCGGTCCATCGCCAACCGGAACCCGGTGGGGCCGTTCGGGCGGGTTTTGGACCCAAGGAGCAAGCGGGTGCAGAGGTTGAACCGGGCTTTTTTGCTGGCACGTGGCATGGCCTTGGCCGTTGATCCTCTGTTTTTTTACTCGCTGTCAATAGGGCGTGGTGGTGCGCCGTGCTTGTACATGGACGGTTGGCTGGCGGCAATCGTGACGGTTCTTCGCACGTGCGTGGATGCAGTGCACTTGTGCCACTTGTGGCTTCAGTTTCGGTTGGCGTACGTGTCGAGGGAATCATTGGTGGTTGGGTGTGGTAAACTCGTGTGGGACGCACGTGCGATCGCTTCTCACTACGTGCGGTCGCGCAAGGGGTTCTGGTTCGATGTCTTCGTCATACTCCCGGTTCCTCAGGTCAGTCACATTGCAGATGAGTTGCTATAAATAAGGGGGTTTGGTTTGAATTTTTTAGACTAAATTTTTTGAAAACTTAATTTTTTAATTTTTTAATTTTATTTTTATTTTTAGTGAATATTTTTAAAATTTTAAACATTTTTTTTACATTTTTAGATGTACCTTATTTACATGTATCTAAAAAATAAAAAATTTGTGAAAAAATATTTTAAAAATTTAATAAATACATAAAAATATAAAAAATATACTAAATTATCGTATTTTTTTTGTATTTTTGGTGTTTTCACAATTTTTTTACCTTTTAAGTATATTTAAGTTAGGTATATCTAAAAAGTAAAAAAAAATGTTTAAAATATTAAAAAAATTCAATAAAAACAAAAAATACGAAAAACAAGAAAGTAAAATTTTTTGAAAAAAACACAACCAAGCAAGCTATTTTTACTAGGAGGTGTTTTTTTTTTTTTTTTTTTTTTTTTTTTTTTTTTTTGGATCATATGAAAACTTTTACTAGGAGGTGTTTGATGGAAGGATTAAGGTGTATGATTAGATTCTAATTCATTTGAAATTCTTTATTCGGCGTTTTCTTTGTTTTATTAGTCCCTCAGATATGGAATCTGGTTGGAATCTTTATCTCCATATGTGGAATTATACTGTCTCGGGAGGTGTAAGACAATTTTCATAAGATAATAATCTCATGAGATTAGGTGATAAAATGATCATTTTAACTCTCTACTATTTAATTATGTATTATAATTAGTAAAATTCAATAAAATTTAAATGTCTCAATTTAAAAAAATAAAATAATTTTATATAACTTTTTATTGATGTTTTATTTATTTAATTTTTTAAAATAATTTACAACACTAAAAAAATTTAATTTATAAGGCCATAATTTATAATTTCTTATTTTTAAATAAATTTAATTTATAATTTATATTTTTTATTTAATATATAATTTTAAATTAACGACAATAAAAAAATAATTTTATTTAATATATAAATTAAATTTTCAACAACACTAAAAAAATTTAATTTATAAGGCCATAATTTATAATTTCTTATTTTTAAATAAATTTAATTTATAATTTATATTTTTTATTTAATATATAATTTTAAATTAACGACAATAAAAAAATAATTTTATTTAATATATAAATTAAATTTTCAACAACACTAAAAAAATTTAATTTATAAGGCCATAATTTATAATTTCTTATTTTTAAATAAATTTAATTTATAATTTATATTTTTTATTTAATATATAATTTTAAATTAACGACAATAAAAAAATAATTTTATTTAATATATAAATTAAATTTTCAACAACACTAAAAAAATTTAATTTATAAGGCCATAATTTATAATTTCTTATTTTTAAATAAATTTAATTTATAATTTATATTTTTTATTTAATATATAATTTTAAATTAACGACAATAAAAAAATAATTTTATTTAATATATAAATTAAATTTTCAACAACACTAAAAAAATTTAATTTATAAGGCCATAATTTATAATTTATTATTTTTAAATAAATTTAATTTATAATTTATATTTTTTATTTAATATATAATTTTAAATTAACGACAATAAAAAAATAATTTTATTTAATATATAAATTAAATTTTCAACAACACTAAAAAAATTTAATTTATAAGGCCATAATTTTTAATTTATTATTTTTAATTAAATTTAATTTATAATTTATAGTTTTTTTAATATATAATTTTAAATTAACAACACTAAAAATATAATTTTATTTAATATAGAAATTTAATTTTTTAACAATACTAAAAAAATTATAAGGCCATAATTAAATTTAATTTATAATTTATATTTTTTTGTTTAATATATAATTTAAAAAAAAATAATTTATAAATGTTCAAAAGACTATTTTATCCTTTTCAATTGTTTATTAAATAATAGCATAAGGGTAAAATGGACATTTCACACATTAGTCCCATGGGATACTAGTCCCATGGAAATAATCACACCCTCCCCCCTAGGATACAATAATCAATTATATCACACCCTCCCCCCTAGGATACAATAATCAATTATATGAGGGAGTAATAATCTGGAGGAACTATTAATCCGGAGTAAAAAAATTGAACCAAACAATGGACTATTAGTCAATAGTCCAATGTCATGGAATAATCTCTCAAAACAAACACACTCATACGAGATACACATCCAATCCAACAAAATAGTCCGAAAGATTCATAGTTCCAGAATTTAAGTCCGATGGATTCTAATCCCCCTTTATTCAGTCTGTCCAATCAAACACACCTAACATGAAATAAATAAATAGTAAATATCTAGAGAAAAGTAAAACAATGAGCATACTAGTAACAAATGAGGATGGGTCACCGAGAGTATTTCCATCCCAACTTTTAAATTTGGTATGTCTAATTTTTTTAAAGTTTAGTTGACAAATTGACATATATCAATTTGACATGAAAATTTTTCATTCGATATATCAAATCTATTATTCTATTATTTTTTAAATTTGAACTTTTTTATTTTCTCTTTTATTTTATAAAAGTGCATGAAGTAGGAACATGTCAAAATTGATATGAAGTAGTGATGCCAAATGACCGTTGAAGTAACACATCATATCTGAAATATCGAGTGGAGATGCTCTAAGATTTTATTGGGTTGATAGATACAAATTCAATATTTTTATGTAATTTAATTATATATTTATATATAGATGATTCTTTCTATGAAAATGATAGTTTTGTCAAATAAATAATTAGTTATTTGGTTTTAAAGGGGAGCTTCTATCTATGCAACATGTTGGTTTCACTCCACTTCTTTCAAAACTTTAAAATTCTAATTTTAATTTTTTTATATTTCTAATATTTCAAATCTATTTTCATCCCTATCTTCACGTCTTTTTAAACTCTTCCTTTTCTTCATTTTTTTTTCTCTTTCTAATCTACGGATTTATGGTGACGATGAGAGAGCGATAAGGGGTTGTAGGTAGAGGAGATAGAGGGGGTTATAATTATCTTATGTAATTATGACACTAAATTGATGTCATATCATTTTAATCAAATTAATCATAATTTTTAAATTTTTGTTAATTTATGGAGCTTATTTTGCATTTGTTCTAAAAGATAAAATAAATTTTAAATTATATTTAAGATTCACTTGTTGGTAGTAAAAGTTCATCACAAACAAGTACTAACCGGATCACACACCATCTGGTCCCAAGTGAATGAGCTTAAGCCCAAATATAATATAGACTTTTGCAAGATAATGACATCCTCATGACCATTTTATATAAAAGCAGGGGCGTAGGCGATTTGATTTGGCTTGACTGGGAAAAAAGTTAACATTGAATCAAATCCTTCAACTAATTGCAATCTACAGTTCGATTTTATTAGTTTAATATAAAAGAGAAATCCACGAAATGTTTTGTACAAAATTATAGAATCATGAATTTGAATAAGTGAAGAGAAAATATGAAGGTTGTCTTGTAAATTCGTCTCCCTCACTTTTATTACAGAAGGTATATCTTTGGCCACTTAACTTCTAATATTCAAAGAATTAAAATATAAAAACAATTATTTTTGAAATAGAATGCTTCAGTCAATTCATTTTGTATAAAAATTTCAATTAGTTTTGATCAATCTGTTGGGTTAAACTGATTGTTTTCTACTCCCATGAAACTAAGTTTGGGACCGTATAAAATAATTAAAAATTCAACTAAAAATTTCCAAAACAAGAAGGGAGCCATACACTTATTCTGTAATCAATATATGGGATTGGTACCCTGACAGCTTACGTAGGGGAATATAAAAGTGAGGAATGGCTGTAACCAAAGGACACTAGTCGTTTTACCAAAAAAAAAAAAGAAAGGGACACTAGTTTTGCCCATTAGTCTGTCTGGTCCATATAATTGTATCATTTTGGCACTAGCACTAGCAGCATTGGACCATCAATTTTGCCTTATTATAGTTGTGGGATACTAAATTCAGAAATACTTCTCGAATCCATGTGGGCTTGATAGCTCTTTCAATGTCACCTGAAACAGATAAATAACTCCAGTCAGTGGTGCCGAAATTAGAACTCCGACGGTTCAATCAATTTAGGTTAGAAGTCTTAATATTTTATTTTTCTTAAAGCATAAGTTATTCTCACGTACCTCTCTCCTCAGTCTCCTTCTCCTTTTTATAGTCTTTCTCTAGTCTTACTTTCTTATCATGTTTTCTTGAGATGGGACAGCAAGGTTGTCCAATGGGGCCTTTCCAACTAGCCTAGACTACTCGGCTTCGGCTTGCGGATGGTGAGTCCCTAATTCGGCTTTTAAGGTGAATTTCAATATTTACTCAGCTCTCATTCAGCCCAACAGATTTGCCCAACAGGACGACCTAAGATTGGGCCCAGTTGGGTTGGACTTGCTTGGGCCCCGTTCCCCTTCATGGGCTTCTACCAAATTTCTGCTCCCACAATAGTAGTTTTTATATTTGAAATTTGTAGTTTTTAGGCACCGCAATTTCCCTGAACAAAATTTTCTTTGAACAAAATTTGATCCTTTCGTTTTCTAGGACACATTTTCTTTGAACAAAATTTTCATTTGTGAACTATAAATTTTGAAATGGAAGATCTTTAGTGGCAATAGATTTTTGGAAATGAAGAAATCATGTAATATTGCGCTTACAACTCAAGAAATTATGTTGGTTGCTCACGTAGAATGATGTTTCTAGAATTCTCCGCTTGAACAAAATCGTGTTTTGGCTGCTAATTGGAAGCAACTTTAACAATAAATGCAAATCACCAGTAACTTCAAAAAAAATTACCATTCGTTGTGAAAATATAGTTTAAGCATACAAATTCAATTTTGTGGCTTCTATTTAAAGAAAATCACAATATGGGGAAGAAGATCATTTAGGATTAAATGGTTTGATTTTTCAATAATCTTGACAAATAAAACAGTCAAGATCCATGTAGTGGCTTGTGTTTGTAACAATATTTGTTTTTTGTTTTTGTTTTTTTTTCTTTTTGGTTGGATTCGCGTTTTGGCAGGCTGTATTTTGGTTAGTTGTACCGAAATTGATCAGAGAAGAGCAGATAAAGCTGATAATGACAATACTTCTTCTAATCTTCTTGTTCCAATTCCTCCCCAAGGTGTATCACAGCATTTGCTTAATGAGAAGAATGCAGAAAGTCACTGGTTACATTTTTGGCACAATTTGGTGGGGTTTCGGGCTTAATCTCATCGCCTATTTCATCGCCTCTCATGTAAGCTTATCTTAATCGTCATTAACATACACAATAACATCGAAAACTTCTTATGGCACTCTATTAATTCATCCTGTTTTTCAGGTTGCCGGAGGATGTTGGTATGTCCTTGCAATACAACGTGTGGCATCGTGCCTAAGGCAGCAGTGTGACAGAAAAAGCACGTGTAATCTGTCATTGTCCTGCTCGGAGGAGGTTTGTTACCAGTTTCTGTTACTGGCAGATACAGTAGGAAATCCGTGTGGTGGTAACGCAACAACCTTAGTCAGAAAACCATTGTGCTTAGATGTCAATGGACCTTATCCTTATGGGATATACAAATGGGCTCTTCCAGTCATTTCCAGCAACTCTGTCACCGTCAAGATTCTATATCCCATTTTTTGGGGCTTAATGACTCTCAGGTAAATGATAATAAGTTTTGAGATCTTGTGTTGTTGCTCGGAAAGATTTGCCACACCACCTGCTTTGTCCAGTTGTTTTATATGCCACTTAAATTTCCCTCTTTTCTCAATACCCAAAAAAGAAGAATAAATTTTCCCCTCTTTTAGCACTCAAATAATTTTTCTTGATCGTTGACATGTGTGAACAGACATGGGATCCTCTGTTCCCAAAATCTGTCCCTATATATTCTCAATTGCACAATGTGGTTGAAATCTCAAAACATGATTTGTGCGATCTGTAATGCATTGGAGACAAAATGAGAATTTTGGGATAGAGGATCTTGACCTATTGGAAGAGTCAAGGGACAGAACTTTTTTTTACTTTTTTTTTTTTCTTTTTATCTAGGAAAATTGTTCAAATTTTGTGGGAATTTGAAGTCGCAGAAATTATGTGTTACCATAGTCTAAGAATTCCATGTAGTATATGTTAAATTTCCTCATCCTTGCTTAATATATAAATTTTGGCATGTATTTATATTAGGCCTCTGCCTAATAATGTTGTTGAAAACCCTGCTCAAAAAATATTCCTGGGTGTTTGGTTGCAGCACTTTTGGGAATGATCTTGAGCCCACAAGTCAGTGGCTGGAAATTATCTTCAGTATATGTACTGTGCTCAGTGGATTAATGCTATTCACTCTCTTGATTGGGAATATTCAGGTAACCAATTAAACGTTCACTCCCAGTCCCCATTACTTTCTTCAGTAAGTTATGTGCATTGGCTAAGAATCTTCTGTCCTCTGTTCTCAAATGTGATTTGATTATATATTTATTAATGTCCGAGATACTTCCTAGAGTGGGCTCAACGAGCCTAACAACATTCAACTGGAGAGAATGAATAATGCTATATGTACCAATTAGGCCTCATTTGGGAAGTAATCGTTTTAGCGTAAAATTCAAAAAGTTATTAAAAAAATCAAAAAAATTTCATTTTCTCTCTACTTTTTGCACATCTTTTCGTAAATAACTAAAAAATCATTCTAAACATATAAATTTTTTTACATCATATTTTAGTCAAAAAGTTACTAAAATAGTATGTTCCTAAAGGAGACCTTAATATACTAATTAGTATACTAACAGATGATGTGGCATAATTTTAGAGGTTTTAGGTATTTATAATTGTATAATAGGCGAGGTCAATAATAATGGCATAATACTAATTGATACACTAATGTGTATATTAATTGGTGCATGTAGTACCACCATGAGAGAATTCATCGCCAATCTTAAAACACAAGAATCTTAAGATATGATATTACTGTTAAGACGAGAATTTAAAGATAAAGAATCTCATGTCATGCATACTATTTTTATTTTTATTTTTATTTTTTTTTGAAAACTTGGTTGGGTATGAAACATGGGGGTGTAACATTGGAGGAGTGAATTGATTGGAACAGGTGTTCTTGCATGCGGTGATGGCAAAGAAGAGAAAAATGCAACTGAGATGCAGAGACATGGAATGGTGGATGAGGAGGAGACAGTTGCCTTCTCAACTGAGACAGAGAGTGAGACATTTTGAAAGGCAAAGATGGGCTACCATGGGCGGCGAAGACGAGATTGAATTGATTAAAGACTTGCCTGAAGGCCTTCGCCGTGACATTAAGCGCTACCTTTGCCTTGATCTCATCAAAAAGGTAATTATAAGTAGTTTTTTTTATTTTGTTTTTTTTCAAATCTGGAATTTCATCTTGACTAATCTCGGGGGGACGGGGACAGGTAATTTCATGTCCCACATATACTGATAATTTATGTAGCATTGTTGATAGGTACCTCTCTTTCACAATTTGGACGATCTTATTTTGGACAACATTTGCGACCGTGCAAAGCCCCTTGTATTCTCTAAGGATGAGAAGGTTTGAAGTTTTTCCACTCTTATCAAAACTACTAATGCCCAAATTGGCCTGTTTCATTGTGTTTTCATTTTCTTTGTATTCATTTCTTGTTTTTTTTTTGTTTTTTTTTTTCATGTTTTTGAAAAACAAAAACAATGAAAAATGTTCATTGTTTTCTTTTTTGTGTGAAAACAGTTTTTGAAAATTCAAAAGTGGGTTAATTCAAAAAAATTCTAAAAACATATTGCTAAATAAATTTCTTAGCAATAAAAATAGAAAACAAAAAACGAAAATACAATCAAACGTGTATTCTATGGGAAATTAGTATATCTTTTAGTAATATTAAAATTTTAATGTCTATGGATCAGATTATTAGAGAAGGAGACCCTGTCCAACGAATTGTGTTCATTGTCAATGGACTTGTAGAAAGTAGCCAAAACCTCAGCAAAGGCATTGTAGCCACAAGCATGCTCGAGCCAGGAGGTTTTCTGGGTGATGAGTTGCTCTCCTGCTGCCTTCGGCGCCCATACATAGACCGACTTCCAACCTCCTCTGCTACATTTACTTGTATCGAATCAACAGAAGCGTTTGCACTTGATGCAAACCATCTCCGGTACATCACTGATCACTTCCGGTACAAATTTGCTAACGAGAGGCTCAAGCGAACAGCAAGATATTACTCATCCAATTGGAGAACTTGGGCGGCAGTGAATATACAGTTAGCTTGGCGGCGTTACATGGTGAGGACTAGAGGTCCGCTGAATAATGTGGTGGTGGAAAATGGTGGTAGCGAGCGTCGACTTCGGCAATATGCTGCAATGTTCATGTCACTCAGGCCACATGACCACCTTGAATAAGCAGCTAGAAATTGGCAATTCCTTTGTCATTTTATAAAATGTGCCTCGAATGTAAAATAATGTTCATTTATTTTTGGGCATAAAAATGGAGGTGATGTTCCCATCCATTAGCCACTCTGGGAGATTTTATCAATGATGACATTCAAAAACTACTTGGTATTGTTTTAATTTTTTGGTTTTCTGAGGCTCTAGAAACAAAAAAAAATAATGAAAATTTTTAAAACATGCTAGCATCATTTTGATAGCACTTTCTTTTAAACAAAAATGCTAGCATCACATAAATCGCAGGCACATGGATATGGAGTCTACACGGTGGGGTTCCATGTTTGGTTTGTGTTGGAAGCACTTTCTTTTGAAGGACAAGACAGACTCTCTGGCATTACTTCTCACCACCATCATCAACGATTGCTAATATTGTAAACAAACTATTGACACAAAGCCAGTTTTTGCCTCTACACTCTTCTCCGATGTACAGTTTTCTCAACATCTCAGCAGAAAGCAATTTAGATCTTCTGTAGAGGAAAATAATTTCTTGTACATCAAGAATATAACATTGCATCTGCAATACGAACCAACCAGTACTAATTGAATCACATCAATAATTTTTTGTCAATAGAGGAGCAACATGTAATTGTACACTCAGCAGCTACATCCATCCAACTGGACCTCCCAAATCCGCTGTCAAAGCAAATTCTGCTGTCAAATTCAGAAATAACTAGGTACATGCATGTTGTGTATACAAGACTTTATATGCTTCAAAGTTTTCAGTCAGTGGATGAACTCTCTCTCAACCCCCAACAGAAACACTTGATCCTGAATAAAAAAAAAACTACTCCCCAAAAGCACATATTCATAATAAACTAAACATGAAGAACCTTGGTTTTTAGACGAAATTTCCTAGATACCCTTGATGCAGTCCACACTAGGATCAAGAAAGAAAAAAAATCCAAGGAAAGATAAAAGTTCGGAAATTGGCTTGATTTCAAAGCAAGGCCAGCATGAACCATGCATAGTCGAGTCATTTTAGGTTAAATATGTCGCTAGAAAGTTTTTAATATTTTTCTTAAAAGTTTTGCAAGTCAAGGACATTTTGAAAATTTACAAAGAATATTGAACATGGTCTATAATGGTCGCTAAAATGGGGTCAAATTATTTAATTGTTTTTATTTGGGTTTAAATGGAGTTCACAAGTAAAAGTCAAATTCCTAAAAGTATAGTTTTCTACTTAATAATCCAACAATTAGGTGATATAGGAGTCTTTAAAGTTTATATATATATGACATAGCAAACTGAATGATTGGCCAACAGGTATTATTCATGTCATATGATTACGTCTTAAGCATTATGCTGGTGGACAATTTTGACAAAACGAGTGAAGAAACTCATCGCAGAGAAAATGATACCTGTATGATGTCCAGAAATCATAGCTTGGAACTATTGTCTGCCCATAGAGTTGGACAGCTAAAGTCTCCATCAAAGCTTTGGCAAGGGTTGGGCTGCCTTCCTCTTTGCAAACTCATGTGCTATGCTAATTGCGCTCTTGCTGTGACGCAGAGAGAATTCCGCTAGTAGGATTTGGCTTTCTTCCAGCGTTAGATCACCATGACGACCCTGTACCATATTTGAAGGATATATTTTCTTTAGATATGTGAAAGTATAATGAAAGGACAAAAAAAGAAAATAACTAAAGAAAACTGAAATATTTTTTATTTTTAATTGGCTATGGAGTGTCCAGATCAAAGCCTGACTAATCCCCAGTGGTATGCAGGCCCTCGGCAAGAAGTTTCCCACAAGTGCACCATGGTTAATTCAAGGAGTTTCCCCCAGTCCGATGGCTCCAAGGAATTGTTAGCACATAAGAGATTGCGATCCTTGAATCTTGGAGGGAGCACACCCCCAATACCCAAGGTCTTGCCACCAGGCCAAACTCTCGAGGTTTAAAGAAAACCAAAATATACATGCATTTTGAAATTCAAATACTAATTCTGGTTCTACAACTATATCAGAATAACGGTCTCTTCAATCTACAAAACTTAATTCAATAACCAAAAATTTTGCATGGTCTGATATCAAGTTAAATCTTCCAAGACAAAGTTTTTTTTTTTTTAAAAATATTTTATACTACGAATTGAAAGTACAATAAAATGCAGTTATTACCAGGCGGGTTGTTCTGTCACAAACAGCATGGTGCATGAGAATGCCTGCAGCAACTGAAACATTAAAGGAATCCACCATACCATTCATTGGAATACTGCAACGCAAATCTGACAACTCCAGAGCCTCATCACTTATCCCCCTACCATTTGGACAGCTCTAATATCAACTAATAATTACAAATTATAAAAGCCATATATGGAAGATTCAAAAAATTCACAATTATGTAATCAGAATTACATTTCTAGTAATACTAGTAAAAACCTTAACCAAATCAATCAATGTGAAAAGTTCTTCAATCAGAAAACATATGCAACGTATTTTGTTGTAACATTCTCAACAAAATATATATGCAGACTTGGATAGCCATATGATGGATAAAGCATCAAATACACTTACTGTAGAACTATATTTAAAGATTGTATATGATATTTTGATTCATGGCTGATATCTGAGCAAGGAACAGGACAGCTTGTTGAGAAACAAACTGCCATTTTATTTTACAATATTTGGTGATGTCTCCTTAACTAGGTTTCTTATGTGAACATCCTTTCATTTAAATAACCTCCTGATTGTTTCAAACTTCTGTACATTCATTTGTAAGCACGGTCTTGAATGGTGTCATCACAGCTTAGAGCCCCACAAAGCAAAGACAACAAAATTATTAGTTGTAATGCACTTGCATCATATTTTCACTATATGTTTGGGAACCTAGGAGAGAAGAGAAAAGAAATTATTACTTAAGTAATAAGAGAAAAGAAAAGAAAAGAAATGATTGTGATTTCTCTCCTTTTTGTTTGGATAAAGAAAAAAAAAAAGAAAAGAAATAATTGTGATTTCTCTCATTCTTGTTTGGTTAGGTTTCATTAAGAGAAAAGAAAAGAAATTATTTTATATTATATTACCAAAATAACCTTTTTATATTTTTAATCATTTTATTTCTTTTATTTTTATAGGGACAAAATAGGTATTATGAAAATAGTAGTTTCTTTTCTCTTCCAATCTCTCCACTTTTGGAAAGATTGAAAATGAAGCTTATAAGAGAAATAAGTTTCTCTCAATTTCTTTCCATTTCTTCTCATTTCTCTCTACTTAGGTTATCCAAACAAATAAGAGAAATACATATCACTCCATTTCTTTTCTTTTCTCTCCAAATCACTCAATCCAAACATAGTGTAAAATATATATCTTGCTCCTCTATTACATATTATATAGAAAAAAGAAAAAGTGCAGATAAAAATATTTTGGGTGAATTACATTAATAGTCTCTATAGTTTGAGGTTTATGTAACTTTAGTCCCTGACTTTTCAATTGTAACACATTTGACCCTGAATTTTGAATCTTGTTTCAAATAAAGACAATTGAAGATATCATTAGATTTTTCAAGGGTAAAATCGTCAATTTGATAAAATATAAACTAATTTGATAAAAATAAATGTCAAAAAATATTTTTGAATTTTAAAAATTATTTCTACACACTAAAGATAAATTATGTAAAATTGATAAATCTTTTAAACATTCATTTTTTTTTACTAAATTAATTTTTATTATGTGTTTGGATGATAATCATGTAAAATTAATTTTTAAAAATTAATTATGTAATTTTTATTAATTTTGATCAATTTTACATAATTTTATCTTTAGTGGATAGAAATAATTTTTAAAAAATTAAAAATATTTTTTTGACACTTATTTTTATCAAATTAGTTTATATTTTATTAAATTGACGATTTGCCCTTGAAATTAAACAATGACTAAGAACAAGATTCAAAATTCAAGGTTAAATGTATCACAATTGAAAAGTCAGGGACTAAAGTGACACAAGTCCCAAACTACCGGGACCGTTAGTGTAATTTGCCCAAATATTTTTGGTAAATTACAGCACTTAGTAAAAACCATGGCAATTGATGCAACATACATGTGACTATCTTAGGATCAAGTAGATGAAATTATTCATACTCTATATTTGGTCAACATTTTAGATTTTAGCCAACAAAATTGCCATTTCGAACAATGAAACTACATCTGTGAACAGACCATGAGATAGAGAAAGTACCTAGTTTCGTTTCCAACAACTATTGCTGTTGGGCATGACCAATCCATATCAAAAATGGAAACCTTCACAGAGAATAAACAGTCAGTAATGTACATTTTGTAGCTGTTATACTTATACATATAGCATACAGCAGAAACAAATTAAACTAGTACATAAAATAGCAGCAACTTAGAAACTAAGAAGTTTAGGATCAGCAATTATTGTCCACCGAAGACCACTGTCAAGCACAGTAACTTATTGGCTTCTCCACTATTCTAATTCTTTTAATGAAAATTTCCACAAAGGGTAGAGCTGATCAATACCGCATCTATTCCAACATGAGTTGTAGCAATGCGATAACCCCGGGATTTCAAAACCTTAAAGCAGTCCTGGGTAGAGTTCCAAAGTTCAATATCTAACCATTTCTCAGCTCCCTTACTAACATGGCGATTGTCTCTGTACCTGCAACAAGGATGCAGATGACATTGGAAAAAACTAAGTAGGTCAAAGCTTCTCACAATTTAGAATGGTTCAATGGAGAATCACTAATGTGCTTCCCATCCACACTTTGCAAATTAAGGCATACTAAAGTTTAAAGGATTACATTAATTGGCAATCATCATGCAAATAATGGAGAACATTTCACAAACTTCAAACAATGGATAACATATGCTTCGTTTATTGAATTGAATTATGCATTTTCAATCTACTGAAATTACACATATAAGCATTGCAAACATACGGTATTCAAACAATTGGGCATTCAAAATCAAAAGCATTTTCACCTCAAACCATGTGCACCTTTTGGAGCTGTCACACGAAACCACATGAACCGACTGAAACCCTAGCGCATCGGCAGACCGAAACGCAGCCGAAACATTCCCAAAATCATTCAAACCTTCAACCACCAAACAGACAGAATAGCTCCGATTCTTCACAGCATTCCTAAACCTCTCCTTCCTCGTCTCCATTATATAGGGATTCAGAGCTTCCAACACTTGACCACTACTCAAAACTGTACCTCCCGCCTTAAACGTATTCAGATAAGGAAACCAACGCTTCGGCTGAGTAAATTGAGCTCCATTCTCAACTTCAGGTCTGCGTTCCATCTTCATCAATCTCGAAACGTCATCCTTGTTCGATAGCAATTCTTCCACAGTGTCTTTCGACGAGTCCTCTGGTGGTTCTACGACCAAATTCGAAGTAACTGTCTCGTCGTCATTGCAATCAATAACGGCTCTTTCAACGCAACCGTAACATCTTGAGGGAGGCTTGTAAGGTCCAAGATCTCTAAACCCTAGGCGTTAAAAAGACACTATATGAGGAAAACGAAGATCTACAAAGATATACATATATAGAGAGAGAAGGGGGTAGTTTTACCTCGATTTCGTGAGGAGAGAGATGAGAACCAGAAATTGGAGGAATTGGTGGAAGGGATAGAAAGAGGGTGTGGTAGAGAGAGTGAAGAGAAGCTAGGTCCATTGTTGATACGAAGATTGAATTCCAGAAAAGAGAAAGATGAACGAGCTAGGGTTTTGCAGGCGCTCATTGCGGAGAGAGATGATGATGAGGATGGCGATTGAAGAGGATAAAACGGTGTGGCGGCAGAACCCTAAACGACACCGTTTGCCTGGAAACATTTACTAGAAAAAATTACAAAAATTCTGGATTTTTAATTTTTGCATATAAAACCCACACTATTTAACATGTTGCAGTTTATGCCCTTCATTCATCTCGTTAGAGCTTTTGGCTTTGGGAAAAAAAATCTGTTGGAAGGAAATAGAGAAAGGTAGTAGAGGTGTGGAGGAGAAAAATATGCATAGGAATGGCAATAAGATAGTATGCAGCTCGATTTGTAGTTTTTTGTCTCTGTCCTGTTTTTGTTCCTTAATTTATCAGACACGCGATTATAAACAAAAATTTATCAGAATGAGGTGGGAAAAATCAAGGAAGCAACTGAGGTGGGGAAGTAAGGGAATAATTCGTTACTTTTAAGGGTGATGGCACTAATAAAAGAATGGTATAAAATATAAAAGAACAACTCCTTTTTAAGCCTTTGGGCGGTAGCGCAGTTGTTGGCTTGGGACCTTTTGTTGTGTGTATCTTGATTTAAATAGTGCTTGGATTGAAGGGTAAGTGCAAACTCGTAAGTTATAATTTCTCATAATTTCGTCACGAGTGTTACCTTATACTTGCAAAAAAATGTGAAGATTTTCTTATTAAAAAAAAACTTCTCTTTCAAGAGTGATGGCACTAATTATATTTACAAATTAAATTGTATGTAGGTATATTTAAAATTTATTTATTTAATATAATCAAGGGCAAATTTCACTTTATCCCTGTGTTTTGGACCGGGTGTGGTTTACTCTCATGACATTCAAACATCACCCCATAACTCTCATGTGGTTTGTGAACTAAAACGTACACTAAGGCCTCGTTTGATAAGTAACTGTTTTAGCCTAAAAGTCATAAAGTTACTAAAAAAGTCAAAAAACCTATAGCCTATATCAAAAAATCAAAGATTTATTTTTCTCTCTACTTTTTGCACATCTTTTCGTAAAAAGTCAAAAATTCACCTCAAACATATTATTTTTGGTATGGGTTGTTGGCTTTTTGGCTAATTTAGTAACTTTTTGGCTAATTGGCTAAAATAGCCTCTTGCCAAACGAGGCCTAAGGCCTCGTTTGATAAGTAACTGTTTTAGCCTAAAAGTCATAAAGTTACTAAAAAAGTCAAAAAGCCTATAGCCTATATCAAAAAATCAAAGATTTATTTTTCTCTCTACTTTTTGCACATCTTTTCGTAAAAAGTCAAAAATTCACCTCAAACATATTAGTTTTTTTTACTTCATATTTTAGTCAGAAAATCAAAAAATTACTAAAATAATCTGTTCCCAAACGAGGCCTAACTTTTGTTCACAGAAGTTATAAATTGACAATTATACCTTTATCTTCATCTTCTTCTTCTCTTTCTCCATTTCATCTTCTTCATATGGTGTTCAATGCATAGCAATCTTATTTGGTGTTCAATGATTAGCAATCATATATACATATATATACGGGTAAAACCCAATTGAACTGCACAAATAGAGTGTTTGATGAGCAAACTCTACACACACACAAACACACAAACAAAACCCAAAGGATCAAAGTTGCTGCACTAACAGAGAAGATTAACTCTGTGATAGCATTTCCTTCTGCAAGTTCAAATCTTTTCCTTATTCCACTGTTAGTAAAATACCAAATGAATCCCAGTATTCAGATCAATACATTCAACATATATTCACACTCCCATTTTGCCGAAAATGAAAAGACATTGAACTTTTTCTTAATCAAACTACGAAACAATAAAGATTAAAGACTGAATCGTTGAGGAAAAGAAAACCATGACACAAGTGAAGACCCATAAGGGAAAAAACAAAACATAGAGAACAAATGCACTAAAAAAATGTCAAATGAATGCTGAACTGATATGTGATGATCAAATTTAAAGATAAAACGGATATGTGAACTGGGTTTAATAAAAAATATAAATTGGGTTTGTCTGCACCATGTATCTTTGTATAACAATGTTCTCTCTCCTCTCCTCATCCACCCATATCCATGATCAAGAAAATTATATGTATATATGTATATGTATGTATGGATTGGATTTGATATATATATATATATATGTACACATGATCAAGATGGAAGGAAGAGTAGAGCTGCTAATGGTTGAAAAATAGAAATAGGAAAAGAATGACATTCTTTGTAAATTTGAAGAGATATAAAGGGTATTTTCGTCATAAAAATTGGCCCACTCTCTATAAAGGCGCTTGACTTTCACACTTCGCTGTCTTAGACAGAAAAGTTTACCATGCGTTTTAGTCTACAAACCACATGGGAGTTATGTGGTGATGTTTGAATGTCAAGGGAGAAAATCGCATCCAATCCAAAATACAAGAAGTAAAGTGAAATTTGCCCTACAATCAAAGCCGAAATAAAGGAAATGAGGCTCCCTATTTTCTTATCAAGGTGAGAAGACTCTCACGAACTAAGTGAAAGCAGGACAAATTGTCATCATTAAAAATAACTCCTATTACAAGAATCTTGTAATGCATTGTTAATTTGAAAATATCTACATAAGAGATTGGCTTCTTTCTAGGTCGAAGTTAGACGGAAAGGAATAGTCCAAATTTTAGATGTACGCCTTATTGTCAATTTTTTTTTCTTCTAAATTAATGGTTTATACTTTATTTATCTATTAACTTATTAAATATTGAGTCAGAGTTTTTTATTTGTTTGGATATAAATAAGCCAATAAAATTTCACTCCAAGTTCACACCAAGTATATTCATGAATGACGGCGTACAATTGTTACAAAACATAACAACCAAACACTCAAGGGAAAAAAAAAATTGAAACAATTATTACTCATATTGCATGAATATGATGTACAAAGGACAAACAAAAAAAAAAAAAAACAAAATAAGGAAAATAAAAACAAAAACAGAGAGCATGACCAAAAGAAAAGAGAATGTAATAAAATAGAATAGAAATTATTTCATAAATGTATGAATATATATATCTATATCTAAAGAACATTACTAAGGTTCAACCATTCTTTACATGAAGTCTCTCTTTAGTGAGTCTTTACAAGTGAGGACTATTTGCACCTGCTGGTCTGGTTCAACCAGTTTGAACTTTTTAGACCGCTGGAAATTGACTGGAGGAGCACTGTTTTCGGACAGAAAAAATTAAATTCAAATTTGAATTAATTTTGTTTAGAAAAATCATTTTGGAAAAAATTTAAATAAATTTTGTCAAAAAAATTAATATTATAATCCAACCCACAATCCGCACCTTGTACCTCACACTCGAACCGACCTGGCCCGGCCCGACCCGGCTCTGCGGGACGGCAGCGACAGCAACATGGGCGTGTGTGGTGGTTTGAGCCAAGGCTCACTTTGTCCATAACTCCTCCTTTCTATAAACTTGGGGTGCCGCTTGGGGCCCAACCCAAACTTGTACACCTAGAACTTATATACTCACAAAAGCTCACTTAAAGTTTCAATGTGGGACAAGCCTTACAAGGAACGTCACATTTTATTCTTTAATTGTCTATTCCATGAACCCGAAAACAACGTCAACTTTCCATTCACTCATAAATGGTTTTGACGAACTGTTTTTACCGTGTAACTTGTCATGCAGCAAACTTGGGGTGGTTTGAGCCAATGCTCACTTTGTCCATAACTCCTCCCTTCTATAAACTTGGGGTGCCCCTTGGGGCCCAATCCAAGTTTGTACACCTAGAGCTTATATACTCATAAAAGCTCACTTAAAGTTTCAATTTGGGACAAGCCTTATAAGGAATCCCACATTTTATTTTTTAATTGTCCATTTCATGAACCCGAAAACGACGTCAACTTCCCATTCACTCATAAATGGTTTTGATGAACCGTTTTTACCGTGTAACTTGCCATGCGGCAAACTTGGGGTAGTTTGAGCCAAAACTCACTTTGTCTATAACTCCTCCCTTCTGCAAACTTGGGATGCCCCTTGGGGCCCAAACCAAGTTTATACACCTAGAGCTTATATACTCACAAAAGCTCACTTAAAGTTTTAATATGGAACAAGCCTTACAAGGAACCCCACATTTTATTCTTTAATTGTTCATTCCATGAACCTGAAAATGACGTCAACTTCCCATTACACTCATAAATGGTTTTGATGAACCGTTTTTACCGTGTGATTTGCCATACGACAAGGAACACTTAACCTTTTTGGACCCACCTCAAAAGACGTATGGACCCCACTCAAATTTAGGTTCAAAGTTAGCCCAAAATAAGCCTATAAAAAATCATAATTCCAAGAATCCCCTACATCAATGGAATTTGACAGAGAGAAAATACAACAACATGATCTAGTTACAGAAAGTTCAGAAAGTTTAGAAATTAGAAATATTCTGCAAATGATAGGTAGCTTTTGGCTTTGAACCTTCCCTTGCGAGACATTATCGGATTTGCTAGCTAACCAGTGAACATGATGTCTTGGACTGTTCAGCCATTTGTGTAAACCAAGACAATAGAACTCACACAGTATATTACCAAACACAGTTTAGTTCTCACTATTGTGTTCATTTTGGCCCTGAACAACCTGGTCTTTCATAAGTGCTCTAGAGAATTGTAGCCCTTCACAAATCTCATAGAACCGGCATAGTTCACACTCATATAGGTGATTTTTATAAAGATTATCGTGCCATACTTCACTAGGTATTCCTAGATATAAGAATCATTAAAAGTATTACTTAACCTAAAATGCTACAGACATCACTATTTCATCATAGAAATGAGTAGGAGTTTTACTCCCTAGTGATCCTTATGAGTTATACACAACTCGGTTGTCCCTTTGAACCTAGATCTTGGGATCTCCATTCAACTAGATTGGGTTGCTGTTGTGGTATTTAATAGGCTAAAGTCTCATTCCCCTCGATGAATTCTCAACTAACTCTCTTGTTAATCCTTTGGTTAGTAGATCTGCTATGTTGTCTTTAGACTTCACATATTTAATAGAAATAATTTCATTAGAGAGTAGTTGTCTCACGGTGTTATGTCGACGACGAATATGCCGTGACTTACCGTTATACATATGACTCTGTGCTTTACTTATCGCTGATTGACTATCTGTCACGACCCAAACTCGGTACCCAAAGGTTTGGCGTCGTAACAAGAAAAATAAAATAAAATAATTCTAAAATTTTTGTACTAATAGTAGTAGCGCAAACAGATAAATTAAATAAAATAAAATAAAATAAAATAAAATAAAATGGGTACCAAAAAGCGTAGTAAAAAGAAAATAGTCATATGGGCTTCATTTTATTACAAGAGTCCGATCATAATTATAGATAGTAAAAAAAAAGAACAACACTGTGGTTCATTTCCAATCATGATCCCGCTAAATCTCATCACCTGAAAGAGGATAACAGCTATAATCAC